AACGATAATAAAAACACTAAACCTAACGAACGTATAATATTTATGTCTTGCTATAGGTGATTATGATCATTTTTTCTAATTTGTTAGCGAATATCAGCGAAGAATCAGTTGCAGGAACTTGCAGGATAGTCTTCATTTATCATATCTGATATCGCGGTTGTCGAGCATATCAATTTATTTAACAACCACCAGTCTTACAGGTTTGAGACATTTTAGGATATTGAGAATCTGAGGAATATGCAGTCCATATGAGGCAATACGTAATAATATAAATATGGATACAAGTAGATTGGCACCTTTACTGCAGATTACGTGTTTTGACCAAATGAATGGGGAATTCTTATCTATTAGCTGTACATCATCTATCCAATGTTAATCTTATGCTTTAAATTGAAGAAATTCTTGTATAATGTGACTTTTCAAACATATTTTGTGATATGAAACAAATTTTGACGTATGACTTTCCTGAAGTGTCAGTCATCTCGGTGGCCGTTTTTAAAGTTCAGCGTAAACCGTAGATGAAACTTAATGTCAATGAACTACATTTTTTAGGTTGTACTTTGAAAAAGGCCTTCGAGATAGCCGAAATGTTAGCACAGTATTTCTTCATTTATCGGTCTGAAAAACATGTTTAGGTTTTTATAAAGATGGTCTTGTCGCAAACCTTAGGTTTAGAAACATGTTACTATTTTATTCACCCCGAAAAAGTAACTCCATATACAGTGACAATTGGTATACAAGGGTTTTTACGACAAAACGAACCATGGGCATAGTTTTACTGTAGTCGCTAGAGGGCGCTCTCTACTGTACCTGTAGTGTATTAAAATGACCGAAAAATTTTTCTTAGTGCAATTTTTTGCTTTTTGAATAAAAAAACTGATTCTTCGCGCTTTTCTGCATAAAACAGCTTTCCTGTGAGTTTTCGTTATAGTTAGCCGTTTTTGAAATATTTCGATTTTTAAGGTTCGATGCATTTTTAATTATTTATGGGAAAATAATATTTTTTTTTACATTTTCGATTTGGGAATTGCAAGTAATTAAGATGATCGCTTAGATTGTGCTTGTAAACACAGCAATAATTCCTAACTCCAAATCAACACAAAAAAACAGAATATTAATTTGTTTAATTTTCCAATATTATTTTTAACAAATTAAATTAATTATTTACAACTAAAATGCTATTGGATAGTTAGGACAAACATACAAAATCTAAAGTAGTTGCTCGAAATGTAAACCCAATTGTTCAATACACAATTCACATCTACAAATGATCGGACGTGGTATAGCATTATTCAAATAAGGCCTTATTTCATCACATGGATTCCTGATTCTGTCTATTAGCATATCTCTTGTGGTTACGGGAGTCTGGTACACTTTTTCTTTTAGAAATCCCCACACAAAGAAATCTAATGGATTTAGGTCAGGGGATCGTGGAGGTCAGGCGACTGGTCCTCCACGGCCGATCCATCTTTCTGGATAATTTTCGTCCAGCCAGTTTCTAGCTATTCTCGAATAATGAGCTGGACAACCATCAAGCTGGAACCAGGCCAATCTTCTTAAATCTAACATAACATCATCCCACATATTTGCATGTTCAGCCTTTAAAAATTCCAAGAAGGTCGCAGCATTTAACCTTGCAGGCAAAAGGTAGGGTCCAAATAGTCGATTACGGTAGATACCAATCCACACGTTCACACTACATTCATGCTGAAAATTTCTTTCCCGAACTGCATGCGGATTTTCATGCGACCAAATATGTTGATTAAGAAAATTTAGCACTCCACGTCTAGTGAAGCATGACTCATCGGTCCATAAAACGTTACTTAAAAACTCCCTATTATTATCAGTTCTATCAAGAATCCACTGACAAAATGTGATTCTTCGTTCTCCGTCCTTGGGTGTAGTCGTTGCACAGGTTGCAAATGGTAAGGAAGTCTATGGTCATTTCTAAGAACACGGTGAACATGGCTTGCTGAAATTCCCAAGGCACCAGAATCTCTTCTAACACTTGTGGTCGGATCTCTATCAAACTCACGCAGAATCATACGGGTAAATTTGCGCTGACCAACATTTATGTTTTGATCCCTTTGGAGATTTCCAAAACCGTTTTCAATTATTTGGCGATGCACTCTTACAAATACTGAGCGAGTTGGATGTCGTCTGTTTGGAAATCTTCGTGTGTATTCTCTGGCTGCTTCTGCTGCGTTTCCATTTACAAAGCCATACACAAAATGAATATCTGCTAACTCTTGATTGGAGAATAAAAATGGCATATTTATAAAACTTTCAAAAAAAAAAACAGGTAAAAGAAACTAAATTTCGTGCATTCACAATTGCAAAAAAACGTTTCAGGTTTCAACAGACAACAAAACTAACTGTCAACTAATTGACGTTTAACCTTATTCTGCTTTCAATTTCAAAAATATTTGCAGGCACAGCCTACTTCTAAAAATTATCGAGATACTGACTTTTTAACGTTATTTTATCATAATTAATTAAAAATGCATCGAACCTTATAAATCGAGATATCTCAAAAACGGCTAACTATAACGAAAATTCACAAGAGAGCTTTTTTATGTTGAAAAGTTTTTTTACTCAAAAAGCAAAAAATTGCACTAAGAAAAAATTTTCGGTCATTTTAATACACTACAGGTACAGTAGAGAGCGCCCTCTAGCGGCTACAGTAAAACTATGCCCATGGTTCGTTTTGTCGTACCAAAAAACCCTTGTATACCAATTTTCGCTGTTATACATCAAATATTGTTGCATTAATTTTAAAAGTTCTATCTAATCTTAAAGTTATGCAACAATAAACTGAAACACCCTGTATATATATATATATATGTATAGAGGCTACGATGGCTTAGTTCTTCGATTCTGATCTGCAGTAAATGCAGAGCTTACTGTACGCGAATTTGTATCCTTCCACAAGGCAACAGGGCTACTTTATAAGCAATCTCGGATAAATTATAGCACGTCCCAGCCCACGCATTCGCAATCGCGGCTTAATCTCGCTCATTCATCTGTGGAAATACCTTAAATCAGCACCGTTTATACGACTGTCTCGGGTAGCCAGGTATATCATGAAATTTGATATCTTCGGCTACCAGAAAACATGCCATACACTCTATGGTTAGACTTGGGGGCTTCCAAATGCCTGCTGCTTATATTTCGAATAACATATAAATAATAGCAATGATTTTATTAGACATCTGATGGTGATAAAAGACCATGGGATACTGGCACTTACACAATGTTGGTAGAGGACAAATGTTTAAGATTCTTCAGCAGCATTGCATCACAACATTCGGAAAAGTGTCATTGACTTTTGATTCTGGGAATGAGGAGATTTTCGTGTCTTTGAAATATGGTGTCAGTGTTTCAGCAATTACTACCTATCACCTTTTTTTGTTCGTATGTCTTTATCTTATTTATAAAGGGTGATTTTTTAAGAGGTATAGGATTTGATTTAAAAAAAAAACACAAAAAATTTGAAAAAACGATTAAATCTTTATTTGAGTCGATAGAACGGTCGATATAATTGAATGTTTAAAGATTACTTTATGTAAATGTTGGCCGCGGCTCCGCTTTAGATGGCCCATGCGCAAGGTCCAATTTTGGCACACTCTCTCCAACATATCGGCTGGTATCTCACGAATAAATGCTTCAATATTGGCCTCCAGTGCGTCAATCCCTGTAGACATTATCCTTAACATGGCCCCACAAGAAATAGTCCAACGGCGTTAAATCACACGATCTAGGCGGCCAATTGACGGGCCCCAAACGTGAGATAAACTGTTCACCGAACTCGCCTCTCAATAGGGCCATTGTTTCGTGTGCGGTGTGGCATGTGGCACCGTCTTGTTGAAACCACAGGTCAGCCAAGTCCAGCTCTTCCATTTTGGGCAAAAAAAAGTTTGTTATCATCGCACGGTAGCGCTCGCCATTCACAGTTACGTTCCGGCCATTGTCGTCTTTGAAGAAGTACGGCCCGATGATGCCACCGGCCCATAATCCACACCAAACGGTGATTTTTTCGGGATGCATTGGCAGCTCTTGCAATGCTCCTGGCTGGTCTTCACTCCAGATGCGGCAATTTTGCTTGTTAACGTACCCATTCAACCAGAAATGAGCTTCGTCGCTGAACACAATTTTTCGATAAAAATGTGGATCTTCCTCCAACGTTGCCAGCGCCCATTCACCAAATTGGGAACGTTGTGGGAGGTCGTGTGGCTTCAATTCTTGCACCAGCTGTATCTTATAAGGTTTTACACCCAAATCCTGTCGCAAAATTTTCCACGTAGTGGAGAAACAGAGGCCCAATTGCTGCGAACGGCGGCGAATCGACATTTCACGGTCATCACTAACACTGGCGGATACAGCCGCAATATTTTCTTCAGTGCTCACTCTACGACTGCGTGTTGGTGGTTTAATGTCCAATAATGTAAACTGGATTCGAAATTTAGTCACAAGCTTCCGAATAGCTCCCTCAGTAGGCCGACCAAATTGCCCATACATTGGAAGCAGTGCTCGATGCACTCTCTTAACCGAGCATGAATTTTGATAGTAAAATTCAATAATTTGTAAGCGTTGTTCGTTCGTAAGTCGATTCATGGTTAAATTATAGACCAAACTGAACAAGTTTGACAATGACACAAGACACGAGTCACGCGTCATCTGTCAAAAACAGTGTTGCCAAAAAGATACTAGCAAAAAAATCACCCATTATCCCACCCATGATCTTGCTGTGATCTAGATCACCATGTTCGTTCTTTTTCTTGTATAGTTAATTAATAGGATTTAAGTACGACAATATAACTCCTTCAGCAACATTACGTGTTCTCTTATTTGCAGACCGGTGATACGAGGGATGTCTTTTAAGGTTTGCATATAGAAACATAGTAGGCCGCGCGGATCGAACGTCAGTACTGAATCTTAACCACACTCTTGAGTAAACTTAAATTCAAAGTTTCACAACAATACGTGCAGTTATTAGAAAAATGAAACTCAACCGAGAACATTTTCGCGCCATAATTTATTACAACTTTCAGAGACAATTATCGCAACAAGAATGCCTTTACTGTCTGTTTTCGGCAACGAAGCGCCACACCAGTCGACAATTTTCCGTTGGTATGAAGAATTCAAACGTGGACGGGTGAGTCTTAGCGACGATCCCAGGGTGGATGCTCCAAAAACGGCAGTCATCCAGGAAAACGTCGATGCTGTGCGCAAACTCACCATTGAAGATTGACATGTGACATATCGCGAGATTGAGGCGTCCTTGAAGATCTCAAAGACCTCAATTCAAAGAATTTTACATGAAGAATTGGGAGTAAGAAAATTACGTTCTCGTTGGATACCCCAGAAGCAGAAAGCAGCCAGGGTTAATTGGTGTCAAAAAACGCTTGACCGTTTCAATTCTGGAAACTCAAGAAATGTGTACAGCATTGTTAGTGGGTGATAAATCGTGGATTTACTGTTATGAACCAGAAAATAAACGACAGTAGGCTGTTTGGGTGTTCCAAGGTGAAGAAAAGCCAACAAAAGTCATCCATTCTCGAAGTGTTTCGAAAAAGATGGCCGTGACATTTGTGTCACAAGCAGGTCATATTGCAGCAATTCCTCTTAATGAGCAAAGAACTGTTATTGCGGATCGGTATACCACCTTTTGATTGCCAAAAGTCATCACCGAGCTTCGAAAAATCAGCCCCCAAAGAAGAATCATCCTCCACCAAGACAATGCAAGCTCGCACACAGCCCAAAAAACAAGGCAGTATTTAACGGAAGAAAACGTGGAATTATTGGACCATCCTCCATATAGTCCCGATCTAAGTCCTAACGACTTCTTTACTTTCCCGAAAATTAAAAACAGACTGCGTGGTCAAAGGTTCCAGTCACCAGAAGAAGCAGCTGACGCATTCAAAAATGCCGTTTTGGATCTGCCAGCAAACGAGTGGAATAAGTGCTTCGAAAATTGGTTCGAGCACATGCAGATGTGTATTAATCTTCGTGGAGAATACTTCTAAAAGCAATAAAGTCATTTAAAACTACCTACCGTGTTGTTTTATTTCCACATCCCTCGTATTGTTTTTCCATTCCAACCTTATCTTTATCAGACCAGTTACGTTATATTTTTGATACTTGTTGTGCATTCAGTATTGTCCTTTCACAATCGCTTGTTCTATTAATTCTGATCTGACTACATATTTTACTATTCTCAGGATATTTTTTCTGGTATGTTTCAATGCTTGAGCGCCTACTTCTGTATCTCCTCCATCTTTATGTAGTACCTTATTTAAAATTTATTTACTGAATTCAAAGCCCAAATACTCTCCAAAAATTTTAGATCTTATCTAAGGCATTGAAGTGAACACCATCAAGCGATATTCTTGAAACAGGTATTTCATGATATTTGATACTTTTGGCTACTAGACGACGCACCCAAGGCATGTAGCGGCTAGGTTGAATATCGTTCTGAGCTTCACCAAATTTATAGCATATATTGAATTGTATAAAATATACCAATAATCTTTTTATGTTTTGTCGTGTACACAGACCGTATTTTTACTGGATACAGTTTTTTATCAAATTAATAAGCATGGCATCCTCAAGGAAACTATAGAAAATAATGGCAACGACCTGCAGTTCATCGCAGATGAAATTGCCATTGCTCCCACTATTTTGCAAAAGTCACAAGTTCCAAAAATAAAAATGAGAAACGACGACGGCTTGAAGAAGGTGTTGAAAAAATACATTCGGTAAACTATTAGATACTAAAGGCTTATTAAAAAAATCAACAACATGAAATCAAGATTGAAGAAAAAACATCTAAAAAAAACTGGTAATAAAGCAATTAAATTGTTAGATTGGGAAAGAAAGTTGCTGAAAGCTATGGAAGGTGACTGTAATCCTACAATAGGGAAAATTAGAGGCGCCATTCAAGTTGGTAGTGTTCAAGAAGAAGGAAAAGAACTATATACCGAGCGCAGTAAGCAAACAGTATTACAGCGCCAGCAATTCAGAAGACATTGCCACCAAAAAGAAAATGAGCAACAGAGAAATACGAAACTGAGGAAACCAAAGGGTTAACTATAAAAGAACTGCAACGTCTAGTGCTATTACAGCAGTACCAAACAAGTATACTAAGTGACATATAAATCCGAACACCCAGTTTAAATGGTTTTATTTTAATAAAAGTTGGTGAATGTATTTATCTTACTGTAAATAACATGTGAAAAAATGTTCAGCCTTATCAGTTGGACATTCCGGTTTTTATACTGCTTTTTTTTAATTCACTAACGCTCTAAAAATGAATATTTCAGCCGCAGTAAAGAATCAACGTTAGCGGATTTTGGTCCTTGACATCCTTTACGATCGGTTACGATGCCTAGAGTACGGAGACCTGTACGATTTCGTCAACTTAGTGAGTTTGATAGGGGCCGTATAGTGGGACTTCGGGAAGCTGGACTTTCTTTTCGGGCAATTGCAGTTAGAGTGCAAAGAAGTGTAGACACTGTGGTTAGGTGTTGTCAGGCATGGCTTCGAGAAGGCCGTACGCAAAGAGCAAGGGGCACTGGACGCCGCCGTAGAACAACAGACCGTGAAGATCGCCGCCTAAGATTATTGGCCTTAAGGGACCGTTTCTCCACTACCAGGTCCATTGCAAATGAATGGTTTGCAGAACACGGAAGACCTATTGGCATGCAAAGTGTTTACCGACGAATGAGAAGTTTTGGCTTGGTTTCATACCGGCCACACTGGGTCCTCCCTTTAACTCGAGAACACCGACGTAATCGCCTTGAGTGGTGCAGACAACGGTCACTCTGGGATCAGGAATGGAACAGTATTGTCTTTAGTGGCGAGTCTCGATTTTGTTTAGGCATGCACGATGGTCGTGCCAGGGTTAGAAGGCGACGTGGTGAAAGGAGGAATCCACAGTTTTTTGTTGAAAGACATGTTCATCACACTGTTGGAGTTATGGTTTGGGGTGCTATAGCTTATGGTTCCAGGTCACCTTTAATCTTCATCAGAGGTAACATGAACGCGCAGCGTTATATCCACGAAGTTCTAGAACCCCATCTTTTATCCTATCTTGACACCCTGGCAGATCCAACTTTCCAACAAGATAATGCCGACCACATGTTGCAAGAGTCACAATAGACTTCTTTCAACATAATGATGTTACATTGTTACCATGGCCACCAAGATCTCCCGACTTATCCCCAATTGAGCACGTGTGGGATATGAAGGGTAGGAGATTGCTCAATTTGCAACGTCCTCCTCAGACTCTAGAAGCACTTCGAGAGAAGTTGGTGGTTGCCTGGAATGAGATACCACAGGAGGACATTGACCACCTGATCAGAAGCATTCCTAGGCGCGTTGGAGAATGCGTAGCACATCAGGGTGCATCTATACATTATTAAAGGTCAAATTTGCAAGTATAAGGATATCCTTTGTTTTATGAATATGGCTCAATGTATGATATCTACCGATGATTTATTGAATATAGCTAATTTCTTTGTCTGTTTCTTAATGGCGAACAAAGAATAACCGTTCTTTCTTACCCGCTACAGGAATCCAAAATGCATAATAATCCACATTCACTCGTCTCGAACGTTCTTGTTAGAGATACTAGGAGAGGGTTTGAGTGGTATCCTTGAGACATTCATTTTTTAAATATAACTCATTCTTAACGATTACAATATTTCAAGATTAGTAGATACGTAGAAAAACAAGTATCGCCCGAACAACGGCACATAAGTGCTAGAACGCGAGCACGGGCAAGGCAAAGGCTCAAAAACTGAGCATAACGGACAAAAGAACCTCATAAATAATCGATACAGATAGATATATTCCTTGCATTTCTCTGCTCCGTAGCCCATTAATTGTGAAATTTCGCAATTTATTATGCTGAGATACAAGCAGCGCGAGCGGCTGGCTGCAGTTCGTATTGTAAATACACGGATATAACATGCATTTCCACACAAATCTTCGTAGGTCGTAAAGCACAAAGCTGCACCAACCGAAGCTACCATACCGTTGATTGCTTTATTGCTCTACATGCAAGATTGTCCGGTCTGACGGAGAACACTGCCGAGATGTTCCGGAAAATGAATAAGTATTCGAGGTGCGATCCTTGAACCTTTGTCTTATTTTAAAACCATTCATCTGATGAACCCAAGGGTACCGAGTAGGATACCCTTGTTGGTATTCATCTATAATTGTTAAATAGTTAGATATGAGATTGCGGACCTCCAGACATACAGGGTGTTTCAGTTTATTGTTGCATAACTTTACGATTCGATAGAACTTTTAAAATTAATGCATAAAGTCTATATAAACATGGGTCGAAAAATGCGTGGCTTCCGAAATACAGGGTGTTTAAATTTACTTTTTAAAATAGTTTTTTTTAATATTTCGAACAATATTTGATGTATAACAGTGAAGATTGGTATAAAAGGGTTTTTTGGTACGACAAAACGTGTGTTAGTGTATTAAAATGAGCGAAAATTTTTTCTTAGTGCAATTTTTTGCTTTTTGAATAAAAAAACTGATTTTCCGCACTTTTAAACATAAAAAAGCTCTCTTGTGAATTTTCGTTATAGTTAGCCGTTTTTGAGATATTTCGATTTTTAGGGTTCGACGCATTTTTGATTATTTATGATAAAATAACGTTAAAAAGTCAGTATCTCGATAATTTTTAGAAGTAGGCTGTGCCTGCAAATATTTTTGAAATTGAAAGCAGAATTAGGTTAAACGTCAATTAGTTGACAGTTCGTTTTGTTGTCTGTTGAAACCTGAAACGTTTTTTCAAGAGTTAGCGGATATTCATTTTATGTATGGCTTTGTAAATGGAAACGCAGCAGAAGCAGCCAGAGAATACGCACGAAGATTTCCAAACAGACGACATCCAACTCGCTCAGTATTTGTAAGAGTACATCGCCAAATAATTGAAAGTGGTTTTCGAAATCTCCAAAGGGATCAAAACATAAATGTTCGTCAGCGCAGATTTACCCGTATGATTCTGCGTGAGTTTGATAGAGATCCCACCACAAGTGTTAGGAGAGTTTCTGGTGCCTTGGGAATTTCAGCAAGCCATGATCACCGTGTTCTTAGAAATGACCATAGACGTCCTTACCATTTGCAACCTGTGCAAGGACTACAGCCAGGGGACGGAGAACGAAGAATCACATTTTGTCAGTGGATTCTTGATAGAACTGATAATAATAGGGAGTTTTTAAGTAACGTTTTATGGACCGATGAGACGTGGAGTGGTAAATTTTCATAATCAACATATTTGGTCGCATGAAAATCCGCATGCCGTTCGGGAAAGAAATTTTCAGCATGAATTTAGTGTGTACGTGTGGATTGGTATCTACCGTAATCGACTATTTTGGACCCTTGGAATTTTTAAAGGCTGAACATGCAAATATGTGGGATGATGTTATGTTAGATTTAAGAAGATTGGCCTGGTTCCAGCTTGATGGTTGTTCAGCTCATTATTCGAGAATAATTAGAAACTGGCTGGACGAAAATTATCCAGAAAGATGGATCGGCCATGGAGGACCAGTCGCCTGACCTCCACGATCCCCTGACCTAAATCCATTAGATTTCTTTGTGTGGGGATTTCTAAAAGAAAAAGTGTACCAGACTCCCGTAACCACAAGGGATATGCTAATAGACAGAATCAGGAATGCATGTGATGAAGTAAGGCCTTATTTGAATAATGCTATACCACGCCCGATCATTCGTAGATGTGAATTGTGTATTGAACAATTGGGTTTACATTTCGAGCAACTACTTTAGATTTTGTATGTTTGTCCTAACTATCCAATAGCATTTTAGTTGTAGATAATTAATTTAATATGTTAAAAATAATATTGGAAAATTAAACAAATTAATATTCTGTTTTTTGTGTTTATTTGGAGTTAGGAATTATTGCTCTGTATAAAAACACAATCTAAACGATCATCTTAATTACTTGTAATGCACAAATCGAAAATGTAAAAAAAATATTATTTTCCCA